AACACGCCTGGCCTGGAGTGTCTTGTCGCGGACGAGTCCACTGGCGGTAAAGGAGCGGTGTTGCCGCCCTGCAGGAGGAGCGCGCCTGCTCCCTCCTGCCCGGCCCGCGGTTTGGCTCTGCGTGTCCGAGGAATTTATGGTAATGGCTAACGTTTATTGAGGGTTTACTATGTGCGAGGCACCGAGCTGCTTATTTCATGTTATCCCATTTAATCTCACCTGCAGGATAAATATTATGATTTCCATTTTATTGTGATGAAACCGAGGTACAGAGAGGTCAGGTCAGGCTCCCGGGGCCATAAAGTTAGGAGGTGGCGAAGCCAGATTGGCACCAGCTTCGCGCCTGCCGAGCACATGTTCCAGACCCCTCGCCCCGTTTCCCCAGTGTCCTCCTGCATTCTAGGTTGTTGTAGGTCCTACAGTTTCATTATTTTTTGCTCTTCTGTTTCCAGAAATTAAGCGTATTTCATATGACTCATTCCTGGGTGGTGGATATAGTAGTAGATTCTCATATTTTATTATACGTATTAAAAGTCTATAAAACAAGGGTTTGTAATGGTTATGTTTGCCTGAAAATTTGCTGATATAGCTCTGTGAGCCTATTGCCAGAGAGATGTGCTTTTAAAGCGAACAATCACTGACTTACCCACTCCACCCTGCCGTGTTCATTTAAGTGAAAGGGTTTTTTTTGTTTGTTTTTGTTTTAAAACACCAGAATTTTCGTGCTTTGTGGCAGTGTGCTTTAAGTAGTAATGAAAGTCTCTCCTGACTGTCATAACCCCAGCCCAAATGCATTTTGCTTTGAATTCTTAATCCCTTAAAAATAAAGTTATAAATGTAAGGTTAGTGTTCCCGATTCTGCTTGGTGCTGTGATACAGAATGATGAGGGAGTTTGACAAGGTGACCTAGGATAGGAGGGAGCTGGGCCACATAGCTCCTCTGTGTCTTGGTCTACCTTGTAACTCACCAGTTCTCTTGGACTTCTGCATGTTTCTGCCTCCCATCCTAAGTTCCGGATCCTGAACAGTTCTGTATCAGACTCAACACAATGCCAAATGCATAGGAACTACTTAATAAGCATTGTGAATGGGGGCGCCTGGGTGGCTCAGTCATTAAGCGTCTGCCTTCGGCTCAGGTCATGGTCCCAGGGTCCTGGGATCGAGCCCCGCATTGGGCTCCCCGCTCAGCGGGAAGCCTGCCTCTCCCCCCTCCACTCCCCCTGCCTGTGCTCCTCTCTCAATGTGTCTCTCTCTGTCAAATAAATAAATAAAATCTTAAAAAAAAAAAAAAAAAGCATTGTGAGTGGGTTTTAGTAGAATTGCATTTATTTATTTTTTAAAGGTTTATTTATTAGAGAGCACAAGTGTGGGGGTGGGAGGGGCAGAGGGAGAGAGAGAACCTCAAGCAGACTCCCTCTGAGCACGGAGCCGGATGCAGGACTCGATCCCACAACTCCGAGATCATGACCCGAGCTGAAATCCACAGTCGGGTGCTCAATCGAATGAGCCAACCAGGTGGCCCCTGAATGGGTTTTAGAATTTTAAATTGTTCAGCTAAGTTAATGAGAGATTCACTGATCTGTGTAAAGACAACACTTTTTTTTCTTGAGAAGTAGTTTTTTATTGTCTGGAATTCATTTTAGTCATTTAGCATTTTATTTTAAAGGCATTTGTATGGCCACTAACTCTTCTTCAGCTAAACTTATTTTGAGATAACTGTAGATTCACATGTGGCTGCGAGAAATGATGGAGATTTCCCATGTCCTCCATTTCCCCCACCGGTAACATCTCGTAAAAGCCCCAGTACAGCATCAGCCCAGAATACTGACCTTGATGCAGTCGAGATACACAACAGTGCCGTCACTGCAAGGGTCCTTCTTCTTGCCCTTTACAGCTACGCCTCCTCCCTCCCTCCCACCTCACCCCTCCTTAACCCGTGGCAACCACTAACTGTTCTCCGTTTTTATAATATTGTCATTTCAAGAATGTTCTGCAAATGGCATCATAGAGCATGTCTTTAGAGATTGGCTGATTTCATTCAGCATAACTGTCTGGAGATGCATCCAGGTGGTCGCGTGACTCAGCACTTCATTCCTTTTTATTGCCGAGCAGCTTCCAGGGTATAAGTGTAGCACACAGTTCATTTAACTATTTACCTGCTGAAGGGCATCTGGGTTGTTTCCAATTTGGGGCTGCTCTGAATACAGCTTCTGTAAACATCCATGCACAGACTCCGTGTGAATGTGACTTTTCATTCCCCTGGGATAAGTGTCCAGGAGTAGAGTTGCTAGGTCAGATGCTAGTTGCATGTTAGTTTTTGAAGAAACTGCCAAACTATTTTCCACAGGCGCTGTACTGTCTTACACGCCTACGAGCCGTGTAAAAGTAATCAAGTTTCTCTGCATGCTCACCAGCATGTGGCGTTGGCACTATTTTTTTTTTTTTTAAGCCATCCTGGTAGTGATCTCATTGTGGCTTTAATTTGAATTGCCCTGATAAAATGATTTTGAACATCTTTCCATGTGTTCATTGGCCATTGTGTATCCTCTTTGATGGATTGTTTGTGTCTTTTGCTCATGTCTAATGGGAGTGTTTGCTTTTTGCTGTTGAGTTTTGAGAGTTTATATATTTTAGATACTAGTCCTTTGTCAGATACATGGTTTGAAAATATGTACTCTCACTCTCTAATTTATCTTTCAACCTCTCAACAGGGTCTTTTCCACAACAAAAGCTTTTAGTTGTGATAGAGTGTACTTTATAAGTTTTTTCTTTAACGAATCATGCTTTTTGGTAACAGTGTGAGAACTCTTTGCTTGGCCTTAAATTCCAAAGATTTTCTCCCAGGTTTTTTCCTAAAAGTTTTATAGTTTTACATTTTATATTTAGGTCAATGATCCATTTTGAATTAATTTTTGTATAAGATAGGAGACTTAGGTCAAGATCCCTTTTTTCTCCTGTGGATATCCAATTGTTCCAGTGCCACACGTTGAAAGATTCTATTTCCTTCATTGAATTGCTTTTACACCTTTGGCAAAAATCAGTTGGGCAGGGGCGCCTGGGTGGCTTAGTCGGTTAAGCAGCTGACTTCGGCTCAGGTCATGATCTTGGGGTCCTGAAATCGAGCCCCATGTCGGGCTCCCTACTCAGGGGGGTTGTCTGATTGTCCCTCTCCTTCTCCCTCTGCCCCACACTCTGCTCATGCTCTCTGTCTCTCTTTCAAATAAATAAAAATCTTTAAAAAAAATCAGTTGGGTATATTTGTGAGGGTCTTTTTCTGGATTCTTCATTCTGTTCCATTGGTCTATGTATGTCTGTCCTGCCAATACCACACAGTCTTGATTACTGTAACTATATAATAAGTCCTGAAATTGGATAGACTGATTCCTCCCTCTTTATTCTTTCCTAAAAAAATGTTTTAGCTATTCTAGTTCCTTTGCCTTCCATATAAATTTTAGGATAATCTTGTCTATATTTCCAAAAAATTTGGTTGGGATTTTGATAGGAATTTTGTTAAACTTGTACATCAATTTGGGGAGAATTGGCATCTTTACAATATTTGAATCTTGCAGTTGGGGAACATGGTATGTCTCTCCATTTATTTAGGTCTACTTTGATTTCTTTCATCCACATTATGTAATTTTCAGTACACAAGTTCTATACGTATTTTCTTATATTTACACCTGGGTATTTCCCTCTTTTGTTTACATATACAATTGTAAATGACACTTTTTAATTTCAGTGTCCATGTGTTGACAGTATGTAGAAATATAATTGATTTTTATATGTTTATCTTGTATCCTGCAACCTTGATGAACTCTTATTAGTTTATGAATTTTACCTTTCATTTCTACTCCTGTTTATTTAACAGTTTCTGTGTGCCAGGCATCACATTAAGGCTTTCCATATGCTTGCCAAAGCCCAGTAGCTAGTGGAGCTAGAATCTTGACAGGTAGATTATTTCCTCACTTCATTTGTTCGTTTGATAAATGTCTAAGGAGAACCTATGTGGGCCATGGTGGATCCAGACACAGGGTTCCTGCCCTCCTGGAGCCTACAGTCTGAACCTGACGTTAGAAGTAACACAAATGGTTGTGAACTTAATAAAACAAGTTAATTATAATTTAATTAACAGCATTCGACTCATACTGTAAGTGGCTAAAGCAGTGACACCTTAACCAGCCTCATGGAGTGGGAGCCTCCAGGGAGGGCCTCCTAAACGATGTCCATTTACTAGGAAAGGTTTTCCAAGAAGCCAAACTACTCATTGCTTCTTATCAACTTACATCAGTTTTTGAAATTCAGAGAGGTCTGTGATAAAATCTCATGTGAAGAGAATTCCTGGCCAAAACTGAATGAAGTTCTCAGTTGCCTCTTTCTCCTTATCACACCCCTCCGGCCCCCTTGCCAGTGGTTCCCGCCGAGGGCACCAGGCCTCCTCGCCCTCCAGACCAGCCAGCTCCGTCCAGCTCTTCCTATTCAGCGGGCCCTCTGCCCGGCTTGGTGTTGTCCACCATGTCCTCCTTTGCGAACCTCCCGTCCCTTCACTCCCACATCACTCTGGAGGGTTTCTTTCCCCCTTTTGCAGGTGAGATGGGTTGCAGAGTCCTTTGAGATGGAAAGGAGGTCCATTCAAGGAGTGAGATGCAGGGTCAGGGCCCCTTTCTGCCAGTCTGTCTGGGAAAATCATCAGTGTCCCTCAGCTTTGGTAACAGTAACTACAATAAGTTTCTGGTCAGTTGGGAAATAGATCTTACTGTATAGAAATGTGCCTCTCCGACAGCCTTCCAGGTGAAGACCCCTCTACCTCTGAGAAGGGAAGGGATGGACCGTCACTGGGCACCGTGTACGTTCCCGCACAGTGCTTGGCACCTCGGGGCTGCTGCTGGCCCGAGCCAGTTCTGTCCCCACTCCCATGTCTTTCCACCCTCAGGAAGTCCCGGTCCTGCCTTAGGGCTGAGGATGCTTCTTCCTTCTCTTCCCGTTTTCCCCACTGACTGTAGGAGAAATCGCTTGTCTTTGAGTCAGCGTGGAAGAAGGAGAAGGACATCGTTTCCAAGGAGATCGAGAAGTTACGTGTGTCCATCCAGACCCTGTGCAAGAGCGCGCTCCCCCTGGGGAAGATCATGGACTACATCCAGGAGGACGTGGACGCCATGCAGAACGAGCTGCAGCTGTGGCACAGCGAGAACAAGCAGCACAGGGAGGCCCTGCAGCAGGAGCAGAGGTGGGCGGGGCCGGGGCGGGGGCTCTGCAGCAGGTGCGGAGGTGGGCGGGGGCGGGGCCAGGGC